AATGCCACAAAAACAAAAAACAGAATATTAAAAGAAAATTTCAGCTTCCGGTAAATGATTGCATTTTACTACAGCATGAAAAAGGTAGAAGAACTTCTGCTGCGTTCTCGGGACCCCCAGATCCAGCCCTAGCCCAGGCCTGGTGAGTGTGTGGGATAGCTTCTGGCTACCCTGGGCTGGTGGCACCTGTCTGGTCCACGCCCAGGTGCTGCATGGGTGAGACCCTCTTCCACCACCTTGGGAGCCCCCCACCACTCTGCAGTCTCCCCCCCCACAACTGCCCAGCGAGTAAGAACTTCTGCCACACTCTGGGGACCCCCAGATCTAGCCCTAGCCCAGGCCCAATGAGCGTGTGGGAGAGCGTCCTCACCCCACTACTCCACCTTGTCCCCTCCAGACTCAGCTCAGGCCTGGGGTGAAACTCTGCAGCTGCAGTCCCTGCAGGGAGAGTAGGGGACAGAACAACCCAGCTAGTCCAGGAGCAGAACATCTAGCCAGAGGGGCACAACAGGTTCACTCTCAAGGGTGGCAGCAGGAAGGAGCAGAGCACAGGAACCAGACTCAAGCCAGGCACAGCTGGATAAATTCAAACTTTGTAGATCTGCACCTGAATTTCAGTAGGTGCTAAGGTTATAACTGCACCAAAGCTCTACAACAAAGGTCAGAAGACAGTGCTACGCAAAATGACAATGAGAAGGAGCAAAATGCAATCTCAGACCCCAAGCCCACCCATAACAAGAGCAGAAGACACTAACACAGAACAAATTAGGAATCAAACAGCTGAAATCAACGAATCAAGAGCTTCTGAAATAAAGAAACAACTGCAGAAAGGTATAGAGAAACTCAGATTGGAAATAAAAAAAGAAATCCCTGAATTAACAGCATCTGCAGTAAAGAATCAAATGCAGAAACATATGGAGGAAACCCAATGCCCACCCAGAACAAGTGCAGAGGACACTAGCTCAGCTCAAATGTATGAATTAATAGCATTGAAAGTAAATAAGCAACAGCAGAAAGTTATAGAGGAACTCAGAGCAGAATTCTTTTCTGAAATAAAAAAAGAATTCTCTGAACTCATAGCATCTGAAGTAAAGAATCAAATACTGAAACATAGGGAGGAAACCCAATCTGAAAAAAAAAAAAAAAAAAAAAAACTGCAGAAAAAGGTAGGTAATTTACCTATTCAAATATCACGTGTAAAAAAATCCTAAATTAGTGAGCATAGTGGCACACGCTTGTCCTTCCAGCCCTTGGAGGCGGAGGTAGGAAGACTGTGAGCTGAGGTTGGTCTGGGCTAAGCCGCCTCTCAAAAAACAAAATCGTAAGTCAATCAAATTTTAAAGTATTTTTAGTATTTGATACTTTCTATAAAGCAGGTAGGTAAGTGAGAAAATTTTGCCTCACAAATGGTTTCAAAGAAGATTTTTCACTTAGAAAGACAACTGACAAAATACCTGTGTAATATACATACAAAAGGTGAGATGCTACAGTGCTAAGTTTGTAGGAGGCTGAGGAATCTATACAGGGAATTTCTTTTTCTTTTTCTTTCTCTTTTAAAATTTTTTTTATTTTTCCCCCCATAATTTTATTGAGAAACAGATAGCAATGAGATAGTTTCAAAAAATGGCAGGAGGATTTTTTTTTTTGGAGAGCCCTGAACATGCCTTCAGGGCTGCTCTTGTTTGGCAGGTGTATCTGAGTTTGAACCAGTGCAACTTGAGCCTCACTGCTTTCTAACAACTGAGCTAATGGTAGGGCCCCTACACAGTGAATTTCTTATGGAAGACTTCAAAGCAGAAGTGACATTAAACTGACACTTAGATGAGCTGTATTTGGAAAACAAAGCCAAAAACCCACTAACAGGGCGGCCAAATAGCTCAGTGGACTAGAGCGCCTGCTTGGGCAGATGCAGGGGCCAGGGTTCGATCCCTGGCCTGCTGTGCTGGCCCTGTGCCTGGGGCGCACTGAGCCGGTGATTGAGACTGGGCGTGGTGGCATGCACACATGATCCCAGCTCTTGGGAGGCTGAAAAACAGGAGACTCACTATGAGTCCAATACGTAGTGAGACCGACCCTGTGGACCCTTACTAAAAAATACAAAAAAATTCCAAAAAACTAAAACCGAACCAAAACAACAACAACAACAACAAAAAACCCCAAACAAAACCAAACAAAAAACCACCACTAACATACTAAAGTACAGTTAGGAATTGAACATAAGCATTCTCAGAAAGACAGAGGTAAGCAGAATACTGCAAACCTGGTGAAGAATATATTAAATATTCCTGGCTGGAATGGAAATTCCGAGGGGCGCAACCACAGAAAGAGGGCTACAACGCTGGCTAAAATGAGTCCCAATGTTTAGAAGGGAAAGTTGCACTTTCACTTAAGTAATTTTATTCAAATACCTGACACTTAAATTCACTTAAGTGATTTCAGGAATATTAGGTTTTTGAGAGACAAATAAGAGGATCAGAAGTGAGTTAACAGTAAGAATCCACCCAAGCATGCCCTTAGCACGGACAACGCCACAGGCGCTGCGCTAGGCGCTTCACACGGAGGGCAATCTTGACGCTCTACAGGAAAATGCGCCGTCACAGAGCACCGTGGGCGGGAAGGCCGAGACGCCGCGTGTGCGGCGGGTACCTCCACTGCATCAGCGCTAATGGTCACGATAACAGCAGCGTGGCTGTAAGAGGAAAGCGCTCGTTCCTCTGAGCACGAGTATCAGGAATATTTACAGGGGACATACGACGTCTATGATCTACTTTTGAACGGCTGATAAAATTTGTCTCTTTGAGTATACAGCTACTCATCTCTTCTATTTATTTGTCTGCTGGTAAAGCAAGCAGGGTAAATGTCAGCAATTGATTAGTTCAGTAAAGAGTACAGAAAGATAAACATGTCAGGCAAGGGGGAAGGCAGGACTAACACGCCCAAATCCTCAAATGGTGGATAGCAAAAATGCAAATCTGGCATTGACTCTTTATTTTTGTCCTTTTTTGGGGGTCTTTTTGAGACAGGATCTTACTATGCAGTTCAGTGGCCTTGAGCTCACTTTGTAGCCCAGGCCGGTCTTGAACTCATAGCGCTCCTCCTGCCTCAGGCTTCTGAGTGCTGGGATCACAGGTGTGCGCCACCATATCTGGTGTGGCATTGGTTCTGCAAACAGAAAGTTGATCATTTTGTGATTTTTATACCATTTTCTCTGAAAAGAAATGGAAGGTTCTGCCCTATGTAAGCAATGATGTTAAAATGAAGGTGTCAGATACATATGAAGAAAAATACTAAAGAAAACGAACGACGATAGTCTGGGCGTGGTGGCATGCGCCTGTAACTCCTGCACTTGGGAGGCTAAAAACAGGAGGATTACTTTGAGTCTGATCCGCGTAGTGAGATCCTGCAGACCCATACTAACTACATAAACAACCAACCCCCCCCCCCAAATTAATGACTACAAACTATTGTGAGGAATAAAAAAGATGTAAGATAAAACCAAAAACCTACCCACGGGCCCCATGCGCACTGTCAAGTCTTAGATAATCTACAATGTAATGATATAGTGCGCTGATGTGCACACCCATTTCCAGGTAAGACAACTCTTGCCCTACTGAATAAGATTTAGTGCCTATGCCGCATGGTGAGCACATTGCTTTCAACCTATACAGAAGAGACATCTCAGTCACTATATCCCATTAATGTGAAAAAAGAACCATAGCAATTATAACAAATGTCAGAGCTGGGGAGATAGCTCGGTGGCTTAAGCACCTACCTGGCAAGCACAAGGTCCTGAGTTCCCTTCCCGGTTTAAAAAAAAAAAAGTCAGAACTGACATAAATTGTCAGTCAAATGTCAGGCACAGAAAAATGATCTCTGTAAAATTACTGAAAACTTGAGATGAAAAAATCTGAGGAAAAACAAATTAATATGAAAAAGTAGCTATGAAGACACACAGAAATTAAAGCAACTGTTGACAAGAGGGTTATGTCTAAAAATGACATAAAAATGCAAAGGGTGCTTTGAGGTGGATAAGCTTTGGGGAGCAGAGAAAGCCTCCCCCTCACTCCCTGCTGCCCACGTCACAGCCAGAGCACAAGAGCCTGAAATACGGGTAAGACATATTTGACTTTACTTATCTAATAGCAGGTAATAAGAAATGGGTGATTTTTGCTTAATTGTACTTTTGCCTTTTAAATTTCAGAACTGAGGCACATGATGAAAAACATGGAGATAAGGAAAGAATCCAATTTAATTCTCCAACAGAACATTTCTCTGGTGAATATCTAAACTGATAACCACCAAAGTACAAGTATTACCCTAGCTTGTGGGCACCCTTCATGTAAACCTGAGTACGTCTTCGTCAAGTCCAGCCAGGTAAGATTTTTTCTCTCTGTGATTTGTATGGTTCGCACCTCACACAGTCTTACTAAACACTACAATTATTTTTATCTACTATCCATTCAGATGCCTTTCTCTCCGTTAGACTGAAAATTCTTGAATGCAGACTGGTTTTTAGTTATATGTGCATCTTTATGAGAATTCAGTACCAAAGGCCCTCCCCGCCCAAAGAACAAAGCAGGGGTGCTGAATTTTGAACCTCAAGTCTTAAACGGTACACAGGAAAAGGTAGAAGTCATTACACTTTGCAATTTCTAATTAGACTACGTGCATAAAATTATTTCATGATTTGTGTCTCCTGTCATGACTTAATACTTTGGATACAATATAAAAAATCTTCATATTCTGCTATCTTAAATGTGAGGATATTTATTTGACTGTAATGAATCACTGATATCAAGAAAAACTGACATCAACAGTGTTTTTACTTCTTCTTTTTTCCTTTTTTGGTACCAGAGATCAAACTCCGGACCTTGCGCTTGCTGGGCAGGCGCTCAGGCCGCTGCAGGGCTGTAGCACAGTCCCGGGTTTTTACTTCTAATGATGTGTACATGAAATCATGTTTCCCAAAACAAGAAAAGGCAGCTTTTTCAAACACTTACCAAAAGTGGTATTATTTGTATCATATTTTTGATGGATGGATTTTTGCAAATGGTTTCTTGTATATCTGAAAAATTATACCATAACATAAAAATAATTTAGTTATGTATACTGAAAGAGAATAACTATAGAATCAAATATTAAATTCTGATTTTCCAAAATATTAAAAACTGGGATTTTTCTGCTAATCCTAGAAACAGTCTCTGCTAATATAAAACATGTCATTTCTTTACAGTTATATAAACCTTATGCTGATAAAAGGGAATTCCTAGAACTTTGACTATTATACTGTAAATTTTATTCAAATGTTGTTTCTATTCCTTTCTTTGTTTTTAAAACCAAATTATCATTTATCCTTGGAGCCTTTCAAGAGCTAAGGAGATGTTTAGCTAAGACACAAAATTTGAGTAGTTTAGTTAATGCTTGCCTTTTCCATAATTAGGCTTTCATCCCTATAGTAGGGAGAATTGAGTAAAAGAAAAATCAAGCACAAATTTTCTGTGTGTGTGTGTGTGTGTGTGTGTGTGTGT